AGCCATTCTCAGGGTTTCTGTTTTTCAATTGATTGTGGTGGCTGCTAGAGGGAGGGGCAGCCTCTGGCTCTGGTTACCCAGTGAGGAGAGCCATTCCAATTGCTGGCACCTGAGCTGGGTGATTTTTCCCTGGATGGAGCTGAGTCTGGCAAGTCACTTCGCCGTTAAGTTCTTGTGACCTGCTAAATGACTCATTTTATTCCAAGGCCTGAGCTGGAGCTAGCAGCTCCTCCGAGCTTTGTCGGTATCCAAGATGGAGATCACCGGTGCTGGGGCGGTGGGGGTGGCCTTCCCTCCTCTGCTCCCTGAGAAGGAGTGAGGATGTCGGGCTTCTACTCACGCCGAGTCTTGGATCCTGGGTCGTCTCTGGTCTGCAAAGTGCAGGATGAAGTTGTCCGCTCCTTGTCGGTTCTTGCTGGTGTTGAGTAGAAGCCGCTCATCTGCTGCATCTGGCTCCTTCGTCCCGGACTCTCTGTGTCTCAGGTATGACCCCGCGGCGGTGGTCGCCGCCGTGACCCTGCCGCCGCCGCGGCAGCTGCTGGCAAGAGCTCAGATGTGTCTCCTTTGCTTCCCCTCTCTTGACTAACTCTCTGTCCTGTGATGGCACACTTGGTGTGATTCTCTGGCTTAGGACTGTTCACTGGAACTCTAAAACTGCTTTCTATGCAAGAGCTTGTTCAGATTCCAGCTTCTCCTCCGCCATCTTCCCGGAACTCTGCCTTCCACTTCTTGTGTGTGTGTGTGTGTGTGTGTGTGTGTGTGTGTGGAAATACCATACAGAAGGGTTACAATTACATGGGCAAGATAATGAGTACATTTCTTATCAAGCATTGTAGCCTCCTCCTTTATTTCCCCTTCCCATCCCTTCCCATCCTCCTCCCCCCACCCAATCCTCCTCCCCACCAAAGTTGTAAAGTTCGTTTTTAACCTAACGACTTATACATCTCATTGTTGCAATGGGTCCACCTGTATCCGTATTTAAACAATTTGTTTTTTCCCTTCCCCACCACATATTATACCAACATCAAATACCGTGAAAGCAGGGGTTATACCATGGGGGGGAGAGACATACAAAGCAACAAAGAAATCATCTTATAAATATGCTAGTAACAATTGCATGAAAGAAAAAAAATTTGAATACTTATCTTGGGGTTCATTTCGCCTAACATCAACTTATCTGACCTTTTTAGGTTGTCTCAGACATATACTAGCTGTTGTAAATAAGGGAAACCATGGACCTATGATTTTTAGGCCTGGCTTACTTTGCTTAATATCATTTTTCCAAGTCTATCCTTTTCCTAACTAATGGGGCAATGTCATTCTTTCTGATGGAGGCATAGAATTTCATTGTGTATATATAGCACATTTTCTTGATCTATTCATCTACTGAGGGGCATCTGAGTTTTTTCCATATCTTAGTTATGGTAAATAATACTGCAATCAACATAGTTGTGCTGGTAGCTTTAGTATGGTCTTGTTTGTGATCATTTGGGTAAATGCATAAAAGTGGGATTGCTGGGTAATAGGGGAGCTCTATGTGCAGTCTTTTGAGGAATCTCCATACTACTTTCCAAAGTGGTTGAACAAGTTTACACTTCCACCAACAATGCAGTAAGGTTCCATTCTGTCCACATCCCCTCCAGCATTCTGTTGTTTAATTAGAGTTCTTGATTCTAGCCATTCTAACTGGAGTGAGGTGGTATCTCAATGTTGTTTTGATTTGCATTTCTTTTATGGCTAGGGAGGTTGAACATTTCTTCATGTGTCTATTGGCCATCATTCTTTCCTCTTCAGAAAATTCTCTAAGTCTCTAGAACACTTAATTATTGGGCAATTGTTTCTTTGATTATTTGTTGTTGGGGGATTTAATTTTTTGACTTCCAGGTATATTTTAGAGATGAGACCCTTGTGCTTTGTATGGCTAGTGAAGATCTTGTCCCAATCCATGGGCTTTCTATTGATCTTCCTAGCTATGTCCTTTGCCATGCAGAAGCTCTGCAATTTCATGCAATCCTGTTTGTCCATCCTTTCTTTGATTTGTTGTGTTTCTGGTTCTCTATTAAGAAAATTTGGGCCTGAGCCAAGCAGACCTAGAGTTTCTCCTATTCCATCCTGTAATGTTTTCAGAGTGTCTGCTTTGACTTCGAGGTCTGTGGGCCATTTGGAGTTGATTCTGGTGCAGGATGATATATAAGGATCTAGCTTTAGTTTTCTACAAGTGATTAACCAATTTTGCCAGCACCATTTACTGAAGAGGCTATGTTTCTTTCATTCTATTTTTTAGCTCCCTTATCAAAGATTAGATGGCTATATGTGTCTGTAGGTTCATTTCTGGGTTTTCAATTCTATTCCATTGGTCCTGAGGTCTGTTCTTGTGTCAGTACCAAGCTGTTTTGATTACTATGGCTTTGTAGTAGAGTTTGAAATTTGGTACTGATATTCTCCAGCATTGTTCTTTCTGTTAAGGATAGATTTTGCTATTCAGGGTCTTTTATTGTTCCATATGAATTTTTGGATTGCCTCTTCTATTTCCTTGTAGAATGAGGTTGGAATATTGACAGGTATCACATTGAATTTGTAGATAGCGTTGAGAAGTATTGCCATTTTCACAAGGTTGATCCTTCCTATCCAGGAGCAGGGGAGGTTTTGCCACTTTCTAAGTTCTGTTTTGATGTCCTTTTTCATGCCCTCCACTTCTGAATACTCTTTCCTATCATCTCCTTCTAGAATATCCAACATCACAAACCATTTTCTTCCTACCTCTGCAGATGCTCTAGTTCTTTTTAGCTCGTCATTTGGTATTTTTATTTTATTTATCTCTTGTACGCATGGATGTCTGTTCATGCATCCTACTTATCTTTACTCAAAGATTATACATAAGTCAGGGGATGAGATGTTCTCTACATCATAAATTTAATTGTATCCTTTATTCCAATTGTTCCAAGAAAACCTGCATATTCTTATATCACTTATATTTTTTTAATTTTGTTCAAAACAGAAAATAATATTTAATGATTTTGTTTAGAGCATGGGAGCCAACCAGGTTCTGAAAATAATCCAAGGAATCAAGCAAAAGGGTAAAGTAGAATGTTGCCCATAGTGTTGAGGTCCAAAATATGGAAAGCATATCCACATTATGACAAGTGAAATAAGATCTCAGGCTGTTTAAGTTAGAGTGCAATGTGTTAAGGTTGTCTCCACAGAATTGTACAAAATTGGGAACAACTTCAGTGCACACACACACACACACACACACACAGAAGCATACACACAAAGTTCAGGCTGAAAGGATTAGCCAGAACTAATTTTGGTACAGTACACACTAGTAGGACTAAGGCACACACAAAGGAACAAAGATCATTGTGGGCAGGAAAGGGCTATCAGGGCTAACATAGTTGTAGAGCCATGTGAAGTAAATTGTCTTCAAGAGGAGTCTAAGTGACACAAACAGTAGGAAATTAGTATTAAAAGGAATTAATCAGATATTGAAATTCAGCAAATATAATTAGAAACAAGATTTTCAATGTTGCAAAAATATTACAGAAATAAAATGGAGAATACTGGAATATACTCTGATTTGGGGTTGTAATTAAAACCTAGAATACAATTTCTTTGTTTTATAGAAATACTAATTAAATGTATATTTATAGAATGAAAGTGTAAAAATACATCATAGATCAGTCGACTGTATAGATAAATACACAGAGACTAGAGCTTCCTAACATAGAGAGAGTGAAAATTTTAGTGCCACATCTAATTTTCTAAATGATCTTTAAGTAGTTGTACAAAGGAGTTGCCATTTAACAAAGACAGTTATGAATATTATGTACCTTGGTCAATGTCACCCCTTTCAATGTTTTCCCCTATCCCCTTACCCACTCTGACCCTTTCTATCTTAATTTTGTGGTCTATAATTTAAATTTCTTGATTGCATTTCCCCCCTTGCCTTGTTCTCATCTTTATTCATCTCCCCTTGGCTCTACTACGGCTCTTGCAATTACCAGTTTTCTAGTGTTAGTTTGCTGGGCTTTGTCTTGCTTTTCTAAGGAATTACACTATTTGAATTCTCCTTTAAAAGTACTATATTTCTGACATAATATCTTGTATATCTCATTGTTGCAATGGGTCCATGGAGGGTGGTGCTGGTGTGGGGGGGGGCATGGGAAGGGGGAGAGGGGAAGGGATGGGAAGGAGAAACAAAGGAGGAGGCAAAAATTCTTGATAAGAAATGTACTCATCACCTTGTCCATGTAACTGTAACCCCTCTGTATGGTACTTTTACAATAAAAAATGTTTTTAAGTACTATATTTAATGCAATCAGTTACATACTTTTACTTATGTCTATAGGCTAATTATAGCTGCCATATATGAGAGAAACCATGCTCCTCACTCTACTTTCTAATATACTTGTCTCTAAAAGAATAAGTCAATATTTATTGGAGAAATGGCTAGTTTTAGGTGTAAGACAGGGAAATTATTCAATAAGCTTGGCTAATCTGATGCCAGAATTTAAGGAAATGGCTTGGTATGTTGAGACAGATGTGGGAAGGTTAGACTGCAGCATGGTTATATTCTTCCAAAAAACAAATTTGAGGAATTTTGACTATGAAAATGAGTTATGATGGACATTATAAACCCCTAAAGAAACTATATATCATTATTTCATGTTGTGATTAGTAAGAGGATATTTAGAAAGTATCATAAGATACTTTGTATTCATTTAAAAGAGAAAACAAAGATAGAGGATAACTTGAAACAACACTTTCATCTAGGGGTAGAAAAGAAAGCCAGTATTGATAGCCAGATGGAAATAATCACCATCTGACAGATTTTTCACTGATAATACAATCTGAGGTAGATGCACACTGGTGGAGGTCAGAGTATCCCCCAAGTCCCAGCCTGTGCAATGCCATAGTTCCAGGCCTCTGAAAGGCCCATTACAAGGAAATGATAAATGTTGAAAGTGATGGAAGTGGATACCAGACACACTTAAATATGAAAGATTCCCTCTTGACATGGTTTTTATATGAAGGCATGGAGGTTGAACAGGTTGGACTGTGAATGCTGTGCCCATTGAACAAGGGCTCAGTCTCAAACTTCTGGGACATATGAAGCATATTCCCAGGCTTGACCCCAATCCATTCTCTTAATTAGATCCAGAGCCCCAGGACACAGAATTCAGAGACCACTGGCTATGTGCAATTTTGTATCTTTCTCAGGTTGATCCAACCAAGAGGCGATGATAAAACTCTGCTAATGGCTTGATGGTTAGGCAGGGTTTGATGAACACGCAGAGCAGAAGCTAGATAAGGTACAACTGGGCTTCTTCTGAACAGAAAGCACAGGATATGCTGAAGTTGTAGGCTTGGATGTGCTTGAAGGAAGTATTATGAGTTTCATTACAAAGGGAATAAAATCAAAGAAGTCATTTGATTCATAGATTATTGGTTGGTTCTAATATTACTGAAGAGAGAAATTTTTCAAAAATTCCTTATGGTTTATCTGAAGTCTCCTGGTCTTTATATTCAGATAATTGTTCTGCTGGTCATTATAGATAGTATTTTGTCATATTGTCACAGACTCTTCATTTCCTCTCAGAGTCACTCTCACATTAATCTCAACATCTTCCTCCTAGGCAGACTCACACAATCTGCTGGGCTGCTCCCCAGATCAGCCAGCCATGAGGGCAGCTCACCCAGCCAGAGAGGAGGTTTTTGTTCAAGGCTGTATCACTGTGGGAGGATCATGTGTAGCTTGAAAACAGTAATAAACTCCAACATCCCCAGCTTCCACCCTGCTGATTGTCAGTGTGAAATCTGTGCCTGCCCCACTACCACTTAATCTGTCTGGGACCCCAGATGCTCGTTTGGAAACCAAATACATCAGTAGTTGTGGAGACTGGCCTGGCTTCTGAAGGTACCATTCCAAATAGGTGTTTCCATCACTATACAGGAGACTCTGACTAGACCTGCAGGAGATGGAAGCCAGCTGTCCCAGGGTGACAGGCAGGGAACTCGGGGTCTGGGTCATCACAACATCTCCACTGGAACCTGAAATTAGAATAAGACAGAAGTGCAAGGTTATATATAATCATAGAGAACCATGTGTTTATTACTTTTTTAAGGAAAATATTGCTTCTTGTTCATAGTCATGATTTGATTTATAATCTCAAAATACTAAATATTAACAAAGATATATTTTTGAAGCACAAAAGCGTCTGTAGAAGTCATTGACAGTATTCCTTCCTAGCAGAGTCTTTACCCAAGCACAGGTACTCATTCTGGAATGTTTCTCACTCTCTCAGACCTACACATTATTTGTCCTATCATGAACATCTAACACATGGATAAGGCACAACTGGGCCCTGAGAGCTCTCCCTTCTGTCTTCTCTCATGCCTCAACTCCCTTTGTCCTTACCAGGGATCCAGAGCATTAACAGCCACAGGAGCTGAGACAAGGACTTCATTTTTGGAGTAAAATGAGGAGTCTTGACAGGCCAAGGCAAGTTCAGAGCTGAGCCTTTATCTCAGATTTAGAAAGGAAGGTCCTCTTTAGAGAGAAATATGCAAATAGCCAGGTGGGTGCAGCAGTGTGAGGAAAGAAAAAGGGAAGGTAAAGCCTGCTCTTCTGAGAAAAGTGTCAAGTGTGTTCTGTGTTTGATGATAATCAATAAAAATCCATGATACCTGTGGTACTAGGAGGGACCCCACCATGAAAGTCTGGAACTCCAGGCTCCAGAGAGTGCACAAGGTCCTACCACCATACTATATGTATGTTTAAGTCCAGGACAGTCTTTTGAAAGAATGGACACTGGACCTGGCTCTCCTGACTTCCCTCAGCTAGTCTAGAAAAAGACATAGTACACACTGTCAGCAGCTCTGATCCTCAGGGAATTGACCAATATGAGCACACAGTTGATGGATAAGAAGAGGCAAGGATAATATCTACAATTGTTAGAAATTGTGTTTCCAAAGAACTTCCTATTAAGACATAGAGTAAAGAAATGTCAAGGAGAACACGATTTTCTCTTACAGATAGTGAACTAATACTACAGATAGTGGGACTTATAAGGGAAAAGTAAAATGGTTGAATATTTATATCAGAGAGTGGGTATATATATATTAAATGTAACAATTTTTAAAATCTACTAAATATCCTTTTGTTGTTTTACACTATATTTGTACAGCAAATTAATTAAAGGCTTTATTGAATGTTCCCTCTAGAAAGTACTAGAAGGGTGAAATTGATCAAGATGCATTACACTCAATCACTGACATGCTGAGGTAAAACCCCTTTGTGTAACTTCTGATGCATAATCATACACATACAATTTATGATTAACTTAAATTAGTATTTAACATTTAAATGTCTCTAGTTTCCATCTAATTTAACTAATATTTGCATAATAATCTCAGAGTTTAATTTTCTTCATCTTGTCTCCAAAGATGCTGGGCCTATCTGAGGCAGCACAACCCCTGGGAAGCGGGAGCATCTGGAGAAGGAGGCTTGTACTGATGTCCCAATGGTCCCCACTTGGCCATTGGAAAAGGTGTCTTGTAGGAAGTGATTACATCATGGGAGTTCCTGAAGTCTGGAGGATTAAAGTTACTCTCCTGAAGTGAGAGTAGGTTGAAACAGTAGTTGTTTGTGATAAAAGGAAGACAATCCTATGCTTGACCACTTCAACTTGCAGTGGGTTCTCTTTTTATAGAAACACCATATTTTCCCACAGACATGACAGCCATCACCTGATGAGAACACTGATGAGAACTTTGCATCTAGGGCTTTCTGCATCTAAAACTGTGAGTTAAATGAAACTCTTCTTTATCCAGAGCTTAGCTTTGTTATAGAAAAGGCTGGAAATGTGGCTTAGTGTAGCGTGCTTGCCTAGCATGTGTGAAACCCTGGGTTCAATTTCTCAGTACCATATCCACAGGGGAAAAAAAGCCAATAGTGGTATTGTGGCTCAAGTGGTAGAACATTATCCTTGAGCAAAGAAGTTCAGGGACAGTGCCCAGGTCCTGAATTCAGTCCCAGGACTGGCAAAAAAAATGAAGGAAAGGAAAGGAAAGGAAAGGAAAGGAAAGGTAAGGAAAGGAAAGGAGAGAAAAGAACTGATTCTGGTGTGTGTGTGTGTGACAGAGAGAGAGAGAGAGAGAGAGAGAGAGAGAGAGAGAGAGAGAGTGATGGTTTAGATAGAAGCAATCTAAAATGGGCTGAGGAGTAAAAACTTCTCTCTACCTGTGATATTAATCTTGTGCAGAATGATACATTTATGGATGAAATTTGTTAGAAACTTCCATATGTTACATGAAGTATTCCATTTGTTCACCCACATTGCAGATCGTATTTATCTTATGAATGTTAGGTCAGTGGCATCATATATTCACCAACTTCATCCTTTAGTTTCAGAGATGGCTTTGAGAGCACCACGGTAAAACAGTTTACACCACAGGAGGCAGAGATGCACACTGGACACTTGTGGAGGGCAGACAATCCTCGAGTCCTCGGCTGTGCAGTATCATAGTCCAAGCTTCTGAAAGGCTCATTACAAGAAAATGACATTATTTAATGTAATAGAAGTAGAAAAGAGGCAAACTAAAGCATTGATGATTCCCTTGTGCCATGATTTTTCAAATAAAATCACAAAGGCTGACCTGGTAGGACAGTGAATGCTATACTCAATCTCAGACTCTCTGGGACCTATAAACACTAATACAGGGGTTTACCAAACTCTCCCTTTTAAAGTACCAGAGTACCAGGACTCAGAAGGCCAGAGACCACTGTACAAAGTCCAGTACTGTAACTGCTCCAGGTTGATACAGCCAAAGGGCAGTTATCAAACTCTGCTAATAGTTTGATTGTCAGGAAAAACTTGGGAAACACACAGAACAGAAGCTAGAAAATGCACAACTGGGCTTCCAGATTCTGAATAGAAAGTGAAGCATATGCTATAAGTATGGACCAAGATTGTGTGCTTGATGGAATTACTATAATTTTCATTACAAAGGGAACAAACTTACATTGCAGCAGACATTTGATTCTTATATTGCTATCTAGCCATAATGCTACTTAAGACACAAGGGATATTTTCAATTAATACCCCATGGTTGATCTGAAGTCTCCTGGTTTTGTTCTTCCATGATTATTCTCTTGGTCTGTGTAAGTTGTGTGTAGCCACAAACTCTTCAACTCTCGGAGTCATCTCACCTTGACCATTGTATGAGTCTCCTACACACACTCAATCTGTTATGCTGTGCCCCTGGACAAGTAACCCATGAAAGTAACTCACCCAGTCAGATGGGAGGTTTTAGTTCAGGGCTGTATCACTGCCTGAAGAAAATGTGTATCTTGAAAGCAGTAATAAACTCCAACATCCCCAGGCTCCACCCTGCTGATTTTCAGTGTGAAATCTGTATCTGACCCATTGCCACTGAATCTGACTGGGATACTAGATGCTCAGTTGGAACCTCCATAGATAAGGAGTTGTGGAGACTGGCCAAACTTCTGCAGATACCATGCCAGATAAGCACCATCACTCTCTAGGAGGCTCTGACTAGCCCTGTAGGAGATGGAGGCCAGCTCTCCCAGGGTGACAGGCAGGGAGAGTGGAGTCTGGGTCAGCACAACATCTCTACTGCATCCTGAAATTAGAGTAAGTTAGAAGTGCATGGTTATGTACAACTATAGGGGCATATACATTTATTACATCTAATTTGATATATATATATATTTGCCTATTATTCATATTTCATGATTTAAACCAGAATCTAAAATACTAAATATTTGTAAAACTGAGACTTTTTAAAGCATAAATGTGTCTCTAAGTGGCACCAGTGGTATTCCCACCTAGCAGAGTCTTCAGCCAAACAAAGGCTGAAGCTCTTTTTAGAAAGTTCCTTATTTTCTCAGACCTAAATGTCACTTGCCCATCATGATAACGAGATCTGCACATCTAACATATGGATAGGGCATAACTGGGCCCTGAGAGCTCACCCTTCCATCTCCCTCTCATTCCTCATCTTCCTTTACCCTTACCAGGGATCAGAGCACTAACAGAGCTGAGACAAAGACTTCATTTTTAGGAGTGAAATAAGGAATCTTGACAAGTCAAGGCAACTTTAGACAACCATGCTGGAAAGCAATATGGAGGTTCCTCAAAAGACTTAACATAGAGCTCCCCTATGACTCAGCACTCCCACTCCTGAACATTTATCCACACTAAAGCTACCAGTACAACTATGTTCACTGCAGCATTATTTAGTACAGTTAAGATATAGAATCAACTCAGATGTTCCTTATTAGATGAATGGATCAAGAAAATGTGGTATGCACTCACACACACACACACAATGGAATTCTGTGCTTCCATGAGAAAGAATGATATTGTCCCATTCGTAAGGAAATGGAAAGACTTGGAAAAATTATATTAAGTGAGGTAAGCCAGAACCAAAGAAACATAGGCTCATGGTTTTCCTCATCCATAATAATTAGTATATGCCTAGGATAGTCCTAGTAGAAGTCCAAATAGCTCAATATCTCTGTATATATGACCATATAAAATGATGATAAACAAAATGCTCATTATCTTGCACATGTAATTGTAACTCCTCTGTATGTGTTTTCACAAAAAAAAAGAAAAAAATAATCTTCATGATTTGGCAACAAGGGAGGTTAATTTTTGTTGCTATTGTTTTCTTTTTCTTTACTTTTTTGTAAAGTGTACTGTTTGCAGTTATTTCTTTTGTCTTGCTTTTTTTCTATGATTTATTCCACATGTTCATGATTTCTGATTTTTGGTACCCTTTGTCTTATATACAGTTTATCTGTTTTGGAGAAGGGAAGAGGGATCACAGAAACAGTTGGACAAAGGGTGAACCAATGCTACAGTGATATAGACACTATATTGACAATTAACTTTACAACTTGGGGGTATGGGATAGTAGGGGAAGGGAAAGCAGGAGAAAATGAGGAAGGGGGTAACACTGTTCAAAAAGAAATGTACTAATCTTATGGCTATATAAAATGATGCTAATTGAAATGAACTCCAAGATATGGAAGCAAAAGTGTTTTTAGGTTTTGTTTTGGATTTTCTATTTTATTGTACTCTGTGAAGTTATTACTTTTTTTTATTGTTCCATTCACTCGTTGCCTTTTGCTACAGGATTTTTTTTGTTTTTGTTTTTGTCTTTTTTATTGTGAGAATACCGTACAGAGGAGTTAAAATTACATGGGCAAGATAACGAGTACATTTCTCATCAAGCATTGTTGCCCCCTCTGCTTCCCCTACCCATTCCCTCCCATACTCCCCCCCACCCAATCCCCCCACCAAAGTTGTAAAGTTCGTTTTTCGACATAACGACTTGTACATCTCATTGTTTCAATGGGTCCACCTGTATCCCTAGTTAAACAATTTGTTTTTTCTCTTCCCCTCCACAAATTATACCAACATCAAATACAGTGAAAGCAGGGGTTATACCGTGGGGGAGGGACATACAAAGCAACAA